GTTATGGGGACGAAAATCCAGAGAAGTGGTCGCCATGAGCTCTATTTCGCTCTCTGTCCCTCCCATCCCCTGATGGAATCTAGACATTAAAGGTTGAGAAATCCCGACAGGCTCCGGTCCTAGGCCTATTACTTCTCCGGAGGAGAAGTAGTCCTGTTTTATTTAACTGATCCCCTGGCAGGGATGGATCTGGGAGTAAGGCCACGGGCTCAGATCCCTCCCGGCCCAATGTGACGCACGCTTCACCCAAACCGATGGGGTAAGGTTTCCACGAGTGGGCAAAATTTAAGACACACATCTGCATCGAAGTTCATTTGCATGTTCAATCAGTTCCAGAGCGAGAAAACCCGACCCTCAAAAAGTGGCGCAAGATTTAAGAACCATCAAGGGAGGGAGGGAGATAGGCGGGTGGAGGACTAAGAAAAAAGCATCCTCTTGCCTCTTGTTGTATTTATTACAAACTCTAGAAAAAGGTTATGCGGAAAATAACCAGGTTCCTTTCTCCCAGAGAAAGATTTGTGGAGTTAGAATAGGGAGGGGGGGGAGACTAAAATCCCCTTATTCATATTAACCAATACCCGAAATAGTCAGAATGCAAATAAGATAAACGGCTTTTTGCTCCATCATTCCTGCCTGGAATAAATAATAAGTATCTTGTTCTATAACAAAATTTCCGCGATGGGGAGTTGACTCCCCGTAAAGGGGAGAGTTGGATCGCAAGAAACGAAACGAGGCTCTATTCCAAAAGCTTTTCAGGCAGCTTTTCAGGCATCGCAGATCAGGAGGGCCTGTGACCCCCTTCCTACCCCCTTCAAAGAAGTCTATTTTTGCTCACAGCAAACCCAGGCGCCCTTCACGATTCTGAAGCATTTAACTGACAAGAAAGTGGGCCTGCCCCTTGATTTCTTTGGTTTTTGCGATAAAATAAAGAAAACGCCAAGCCTGGGATCAGGGATGAGCTAGAATTAAAGGTAAAACAAAAACAAAAAAAAACTTTATGGGGAATACATTTTCGGAGACGAGAAAGGAGAAAAAGACCACAGCCCAATCGAAAAGAATCGCAGCCATTCCCTTCCCCTCCTTGGAAAAAAAGAAAGCGAAGAGAGAGATGCCTTGGCGAGATAGCAGCTCTGCGGCTGCTTAAGCGACGCCGTGTGTGGCATTGGGAAAAACCCAGGCCGCGTACAGCAGGCCTTCATTACGTTTCCAATAGATAACATTTGGTTAACTCGGTCCCTAGATTACAACGCGACATAATAGCCCGTCAGCAAAGACGGGGCTTTTTGTGTGGTCCTTCTGCGGGCCACGAACTGAAACATTAGCTCTCCCTTCGCTAAGTCATTCTAATTCTAAATCAGCCTAATTCTTCCCTGAAGCGGGGGGTGGGGGGGGTGGAGGAGAGGAAGGGAGCGTCTTAATAAAACCACACTTTGCAGTTTGGGGAGAAAAAGATTAGGAGGAGGAGGAAGGGTAGGGAGACAATCCCCCCCCC